ACGCTATGGTCTCAGACTCTCAGAGACTGAGACCCAGACTGGAGTGTACCCAGGTAGCACATTTACTGGCTTGGGATCCCTGATTGGCGACTAAATGATGGCTAATTGATGGTTATGGGCGAATCACAAAAAGCCGCAATCTCCAGATCTTTACGGTACTCGCAGTACAGTACAGTACAAATCTAGAATGAAAAACAATCGTGGCGTAGACGAGCGTAGGCTGGATGGATGCCTGGACCTGGCATGGGATGGCATTGGCGAGGTGAGGTGAGGTGAGGTGAGGTGCGGTGGTTGGGACCGAACAGCCCAAGCAGTGTAAGCACTCATCACTGTGGGACTCTGATCCTTTCTTAATGGTGCTGAAACGTGTGAGAGAGAGAGGCAGCATGGCGTCGGTGTTGAAACTTGGGCACTCTGATGCGTTTCCTCTACTGGCCTTGCCTCTTGCCTCGTCCCCCTTGGACCATGGCCCATGGACTCTGCCTGCTCTTGCCAGTAGGCTCTCTCTCTCTCTCTCTCTCTCTCTTCCTCTCTCGTATAGTGCTCGGCATTCCTCATCATGAATGTCAGAAGGTTCCGTTAAAAGGCGAATGCTGCTCGGACTTTGAGACATCCGGTCGTTCGGTCAGTCAGTCAGTCAGTCGCCATCCGAAGAAAATCTCGGACCCTTCCAAATGAATTTCCTCAGGGTCGGAAATCTCGGCCAAATGAGCGTCCGAGGGCCGAAGCTTCGGTGAGACTAGGACTACCATGCCATGGCTAACCCATAGCTTAAAATACATGCAGCGAGTCCAAGACTCCTGTACAGCATACTGTACAGAGATCCAAGAGCGAACGCAATCTCTTGAAAATGGCACCGCCTCGCAGAACACTGCAGCGAGAGGCAGAAATGGCAAGTTCAAGTCTCAGTGTAGAAGGAGGAGGTGGAAAGTTCGCTCTCTGGGGTCTAATTAGGGGCGAAGGCGGCTCTGATTACAAGACAAACGTGAGAGGATGAGGAGGGAGCAGTCTGCTGTATATTATAAAGACACTCTCTTATTCACGGATCCCGATGCTAATTACTGACATACAGAGAGAGGGCCCATGAGGAAGCTAAGCTGAGCCTACGAGTAAGAGAACAGGAGCTCGGATGAATCAGATCTGAGCTGCTTCTGCTGCTGCTAATTGCTGTCTGCTTCCTGAGTCTTCCGAGTCTTCTTCACCTTCTTCTACCTCAAATCGAGAGGCTGGTGAGCGATTGATGGAAAGCAGGGTCAGACCAGCGACCAGACCCAGACACAGCGGCCCACGCTCCAGAAGCGCTTGTCTCGACAAACAGAAGCTGCTTCCCAAAACCATAAACAGGTCCTGAATCCTGATTCTCTCGTCTTTGGTCTTAATTGCTCCTCCACAGTTTCTGTCTTTCCCGGTGGAGAAGAATTTGGAACTTCCATGTTCTCGGTGCCATTCCACCCGCCAGCCAGCCATAGTCATCTGTCCCGTGTGTCGTCCTCCTTTGCCTCCAAGACGTGGCTCGTCGACACCCTCGCTCTCTTCAAATCGGAGCCAATTACAGGGATCCAACTTCCAGTCATATCCCAAGACAGATAGAAGTTAGATTCCGTGAGAATCCCCAGCCACTGCCTCCAGTTCTTGACTCCTTGCTAGGCTGAAACCAGCAATGTCGTGGGAGTTAGTTAGTCTAAACCGCCAGCAATAAAATAATGTTTTCTGTATCGATCGTGACACTCACTCAATGCGGCCAGACGCAGACGCAGCAGCGTGTGTAGGGCAAAGTGTGATGATGTTCATCTATCACGAGAATTTCATCATGATGTTGGGTTGAAAAGGTGGTTGCTATGCTGTTGTACACTCTATAAAACCTCTCTCCCTCTCACACACAGAAGACACGATTTCGTCCACGAAGCTATGAGTCCATGACGCTGGCTCGGGGCAGAAGAATTATCTGGAAAGAGACATGGGCAGAACAAATAGGAAAAAATTGAAGTGAAGAGCAAAGTCTTGTTATGATTGAATCATATATATCTGCGAAGAGGTTAATCCCACCAACCACACGCCAACTTCGCATGCCCGGGAGAAAATATCGACCTGGTTACTGGATGGGAATCAAAATACTTATGTCGACGTGCAATCACAATCTGTCTCTTCTCCTCAATGTATTTCCTCGACTCATTAGCTCTTCCTCCCTTATTCATTCTCTAATCATGAAGCCAGCAATCATCAGAAATTATTCTACAGCTCTGGTCCTAGCTGAAGGTACTTTCAGCTGTCTATATGGTTCAAATCTATCTGGCTTTAAACGTCAAGCAAATATAGAACATCAAAGGATGCTCACGACTCCATGATTCTGAACTTGGATGGGAGTGGATCGATCGAAAGTTGCACCATTCAGCAGACTCTTAAACAAGAAGTTGGATGCTCACTCCAAGAGGGAATGAGCAGTCCAAGAAAAGAGGGGACACAAATCCTTCGAGTCCGATGGTCGATGAATGCAAAATGCAGAAGAGGAGCAAGGCGTGCTCATGCTCTCGGAAGCGTGTTGAGTCGTGAGAATGGCCAGAATTTTGGAGAAATATTTCCAGTTCAGAGTCCCCTCCATAGCGTTGCCGAAGATAGGCCCAAAATTCCGCCCAAGGGAGGTAGAAAAGCTCCTCATGCTCCATGCACACACGTGAGTTCTGACGCCAACATGTCGAGAATGAATACATGTACGTACAGGTGATTAAAGGCCACTGTACCGTCCGGAACAGACCGGGCTCCACGTCTGAAAGTAATATCTCAGGAGAAGAGTGTTGTTTACAGCTTTACATTATTCCGCATTCACTCCCTCCATTCAGATCGGAGTCACCAGCTCTCTGCAACTTTTCTCTGGGAAATAAATGGAGGGCATCCTCTGGTTGTACTACACTGTTCCACCACCCGTCCCAGGATTCCCAGCACAGCCAATTACGCACCCGACCTGGATGGATTGCATTGATGAACGCCATGAGAAGTCGTCTTCTTCTTCTTCTTCTTCATCCACGCGGAAAATTCAGGAGCAGATTCAAATCTAATATTCCAGGACTTGTGGTCAGAGACAAGAAAAACAATCCTCACTTGGACTTGATGTGATCTATCAACTCACGGTGGATGAATTTCTAAGCAGCCCCCACGTCCTGCAACCGTGGTTCCACTACCACAATCATAAAGAAGAACCATAACCACAAGTGACTAGGACATGAAATTGGCTGTCTGGAAGTTCCTCCTCTGGAGGAGAATATTTTCATCGTTGTGGACAAACCTTCATTCCTTGTTTCTTTCATACATTCATACACATTCATAATGCTTCAGGTGTTCTATCTGAAGCATTGAGGGAACAGCTCAGTGTGTTCCAGTAGGAAAGTAGGAGGGAGGGAGACATTTCTCGTACATACGACAGACGTGCTTTCCTCACGAACTAATAAAGTGGCTGTGTGCTCTGAAAGTAAGAGGGATAAAGCAAACTGCTCGTATTTCGGCTGACAGGAGAAAGTAGGCATGGGATTCTCTTTCCCAGCTTTGTTGACCAGGAGTATGACTCACCGAAGCTCACGATGATACTACTTCACATTGTAAGCTTTACTCTTATCCAACGCAGCCTTTGTCACGCTGACTCTTCTGCCTCGAGAGCATGAATATTTCAACTTTCAGTTCGCTACGCTGCTGCCTTCCCTCACAGGGTCCTCCCTAGATTGATCGTATCTAGTGAAAGAGATTCGCCTGTCAGAAAAGGCATCATCGACGTGCCATACTTGCAGGGGTCTTCCCATCCTTATTGATACATTACTTGGTACCTTGTGGCTTACTAACAGTTCCAGTACAGCACAGCCAGTTAGTGACTTATGAAAATCGAGATCCCTTTATATGTCTTGCCATTTTGACTTGCCTCTCCGGGTAAGATGTGAGTGGGCTGAGCTGGGCTTTTAGCATCTCCGTGCATCTCGAGAGGAGGCCAAATGTTTCTGGCCTTGACGTTCTCTTGCTTAGTCCCATTTGGACATGGCATCCGGCAAACACCCGCTTGATGCTCATTGCAGTGCGCAATTACGTCTTGCTTAGTGTACTCACTCGGGTACCGTTGGCTGGTGGCTGGTGCGACTAGTGGAGTCCTCGAGTGATTCTATGGAGTCTACGCCGATAATTCCCACGGAATAGGGAAGGGCATCTATCTAGCACTTTCGGCAGCGCCAGTGTCTGTACGGTCTGACAGGGCCGTAGGGAAACAGGTTTGCTTGCCCTAACCTTGGCCTGATTTGATTTCCTCCTATCTGTTTGTTGCATATCTCGCACTTCTCATGTCTTTCTCTCTCCTCACATGTAAACACTGTGCTGATGCAGTGTGCTGTGATGCAGAAAAATTACCTCCCAAGCAGTTGCATACGGTTTCCGAATGGATGAAGCGTGAAACCGATCAAACCTCGTGGTCGATGGACTTCTCTATCCTTTGCACCCGAATCGAAGAAATCACAATTGAATGGGGTAGACAACTCTATGCTCAGGATGCCAACCTCCTGTGGAAAACGGATATTGGTAAGGTGTTGCTCTGGTCTGCATCGAAGTGCTTCCTCTTGCGCCTCCTCCATTTGTTGATTCGGGGCATCCCATTCTCACTGGTGTGTTCGGCTGATGGTACCCGAAGTGAGTGATACACCTCTTTCTTGTGTTAGCAGACATATCGGCCATTAGGCCAGACTAATGTCGACCAAAAACCTTTGGAAACTGAAGTCTGATGCGCCTTTGATAGCAAAGAGCCATGAAATGACATCCTTCTTCAAATCGAACGAAAAACATATAATCATTGCAATGATTCCTGCTTAATCGTCATCTCCTGACCTGAGGTGGGTCTAAATTCCCTTCTTCAGCCATTGCAAGCAGCTGTACTACAAACTTTCCAGCATTCAACAAGAACTGCAATGCGAATGGTGAGCGAATGAAGATCGACACAGTTCTGCACGTAGCAACTGTCCAGATTCACAACCTTTCTCAGAAATGGTATACATTTATTGGAGCTACAAATAACTTGCGTACAGGGTTGAGCCCTAGAGACAGAATAAATAATCTCCCTCTTCCTTGAAGGAGCTACATGAGTGGCGGGATTGGCAAATTCTAGGCCAAAAGAATACAATGGACGAACAGGTATGATAAAGCACCCCAAGCGATTGAGGTGGCCTGGTTTGATCTCGGAAGCAAGCCGGCGAAAAAAAGAGCTGTGCTTTCAGATGATCACCCTTGCCCCTATGTAGGCGGCACCTTAGTCTACAGTGGACGAATTCGATATACCGGAAACAATTGCGTAATATTCCCTGTATAAGTTTAACAGACTCCGCGTTGCCTCAGAAAATTGAGATGTTCTATCTAGAAAACAGTACATCTGACATACAGCTTGCGTCTCGGCCCTCCTCTACGGCGAACTTCAATTTAGAACTTCAACTTCGCTTCAGGCCCTAAGCACTTTGAACAAAGAGCTGTTGATGTAGTCATTGTCTACAACACTGACCAAGTAGTATGACGAGGCGATCTGCATAAAAAACAAGCAACAAAAATTTATCAAAATCAGCACATCATCGTATTCATACTGATGGAAAGATTCAAGAATTATGATGACCGCTGGGACGATAGGATAAACTACTTGACCCAACAAAGTGAAAGAAGTCTTCCTCATCTCCGAGCATTTTGCACGCGGATGCGATAGACAAAAGTAAAACTTACCTCGGAAAGGATCTTTCTCGAGGAATCATTCTCAGGGTAAAGGCTTGCCCACTCATCGGTCCAGGCCTGGAATGCTTCATCCTTCCAGACCATAAAGCTCACTGGATCTACCACAGTGGGTTGGATGACCTCTTTCGCTGGAAAAACTCCCCAAGTAACCGCGTTGACGTCCCCAGGCCCAATGTTCGACTTTGTCTCCCCCTTGGCGTTCACCGCAATGAAGGTAAGAGGTGTGCCTTTGATTCCCTCGACAAGAGCCTGTAGCTTCTCCGCTGAACAGAAAAACTCGACGTATGCCTTTTGGTAGACATAGCCACCAGGACCTCCCCAGCCTACACAGTAGTACCACTCAAACGCATCAGCAGACCGTGACCGTATCCTACTGGGTATCGAATACAGACGCCGTCCTACAGTAGCTGATCAAGCATGACAGACACGTACCGACGGAGGGTGAATCGGACTTTTCTCCGTTCACTGCGGGCTGGCTGTTGATGGTCAGGAAGCCCTGGTTGTTGACATCGACCAAATCTTCATTGATCGTCTTCGTCTCTGGTTGGAGACCGTCGACTTCTGACCATGGGATGGTGTTGATCTCTCCCTTGCAGTACTTCACAAATTTCTGCAGAACAGACATGATTCGAAAGAGAAAAGTTCAATCACCGCCACACTGATCTAAGATCAAGTTATACACTTCCAGATGTTCTGTAATTGTCCAGATGGGCATGAATTTTTTAAGCTCTGTTAAACACGACCCTGCATGCTTGGATGGTCTTCACTTATATCAGCTGTGCTTACCTCATGGACATCGGCAACTGAAGTCAAAGGAGTTGCCCATTCCTTAGCCAATTTCTTGTTGCGGGTACGTCTTCTCAGGAACTGTAACGAAACCATATCAGATTTAAGTTAGCTTAGTTGGTTTCAAAAAGACCTTAAAACTCTACCTTTGTCATATGCACCGCTAGCTATAAATTAAACGGAGAACGAACGTACCTGGTAATCGTTCAGCGTTCCATAAGCAGGGCTACGGCTGTCTCCCCATCGACCTTGTGGATATTCGTTCCATTCAGTTGTTCTTGTGATGTAACTCTTCGGTCTGTTAGCCCTGCAAGTATAGTTGATTGACATCACGTACGAGGTCATGAGAAACGTACAATGCAAGCTGCTTCTGGACAACTCTATAAGGAAGGAAAAGGAAACTCAGAAAAGGCCGAAACGTGGTAATTCACGGGGATGACAAAAAAGGAACACTCCAAGTTCGATCACAATATTAAGTTCAGCCCTCAAAAACATGGCATTAACCTCAGAAAAAGTCTGCTTATTTTTCGATGGTCCATGGATTCACAAGAAAATAGGCTCTAACATTCGCAAGGCGGATCTCCTATATGACTTCATTGGACCAACGAAGGTCGGAAAATAAAAAGCAAATAGGTCCTACCAGAAGATAGGACGCACTTCCTCGCCATTCCTCTTCTGGTTCGTGGGTGGCCTCCAGGGTAAGGACCTATTGACTCGAGTGATGTCGATGAGCCCAAGATTCTACAAAGACAGGAACAAAGGTGAGCAAAGAAGAAAGAGTCAAAACAGAAAAGAAGGATGACTGACTCGAAGTAAGAATAAGAACAAAAGTGGAAAAAGAAGACGTCATTTGTACCTGAAGGATTCTGAGTGCGGAAGTCTCCATGTTCATAGTGTACATGTGCAAAGCCGTGACGCCATGTGCCAGTATCTTTTTGCACATTTCTGTTGCGTAATGAACTCCAAAGGCCCTCACAGCTTCTTCGTTGTCCTTAATTGGCTCCAAAGCAGCCGTCAGCTCAGCGGGGATCTGTGTATAGAAGGATATATGTTAAAAACAGATTTTGTCGTGACCTGCCCCAATTGTTGCGACGTGAGTTAATAATGAGAAGTCTGAGAAAGTTTGAACTGGTTCGAGTGGGAGCACAGCCTTACCTTTGTTTTACAGAAACCTGTCATGCGCTTGAAACCATTGTAGCTGACGATGGGCATGATACCTGGCACAACTGGGCAGGAGATACCGATCTGACGGCAGTCGTCCAAAAATTTCAAGAAGATGTCTACATCGTAGAAGAGCTGGGAGACAATCAACTCTCCACCAGCGTCAATCTGTCAAAGCCACAGAATGTGAGAACGTGACCAAAGACGAAATAAACGTTTGACGTACATGGGCGAGATCTGTTATCAAGGTCTCCCAAACAGCGAGGGATGCGATCGCCAATGCAAGTCAAGGACCTTGCGAGTGAAAACCAGTAATAGTTGAGAGTATGGAACATAAAAGGTGTGTTGATATAGTGCATATTGCTCCACACTCTCACACAGAAGAATGGAAGGTGCAAGGGACATTCAATGTCTGAATCTACTCAATACTACTGAGGCAATAAAGGATCTGCAAGGACCACGTGATTCGTAACACTCACACAGCTAACTGAAGAAACTAGTGACAAGGATGCAAACACGCTCTTGAATATAAATCAAGGAGTAGGAAAGAAACTCCGTGTACAAAAACACACGTTCTCTCTGTTACTACCAGTTAAACCTACCTTCTTCTTCAAGTATTCCAAATCCTTACGGTACGCTTCCTCTGTGGCACCTGATTCCTCCAGTATCACTTCCGGATGTGCCTCTGATTAAACAGACAGTATGATGATTATTCTTGGACTTCTTTCACTGAAAGTGTCGATACCTTAGACAAAAACTAACATTTGGTCCTCGAAAGAAACACACCTTAGCATCAAACTGATACCCACTTGTATGGAAGGAAACTTTACCTGGATAACCAGCAACGGTGATCCCAAAGTAGTCTCCGTACTTCTCTTTGATGTGTTTCACCTGGTCAGAGTTGCAAAAAGAAGATATTTATGACACTTCATGCAATTTTCCCAAGATGTAATTTCAACCTTTTCCTGATCGAAAAGAACAGTTGTTCATTCGTTACATATGAGGCAACTCAAGATGTGATACGCCCTCGGAACGAAGCTTTGAATATGGAGTACGACAGTCAGGAACAGTAACTTTTGGACTTGGAAATATGGAAGAAAAGAAAAGACAATTCGGGATCAAAATTGCGAGACGTGCTTACCAAATCAAGAGCGCAGGAAAACCCTCCTTCAACTTGTACGAATGTGTCTTGTCCGTGAGGTGGGTCGCCACGGAGGGCCAAAATATTTTGGATTCCGTTAGCCTTAACAGTGTCCAGGGCGCTGTTTAGCTTCTCCACGGGCATGTTGGTGCAAGTCAGATGCATCATTGTATCCACACAAATCTGTTGCCCACCAGGTCCGATATTAGCACCGCAAAGGATAGTGATTGAATTGTGGACAACCAGTGAGGGTAGTGACAGTGTCTAGTTTGCTCGAGTCTTCAGTCAAAGCTATCGTCCTGTTTCTAACGGACGATAGCCATCCAAACTAAACTTAAGGCATGTACAATCATACATGCATGTTATCAATCTCGGAAAATTCGAGGTAAAAGAAGGTTGCACGCGTGATCAGGAAAAACTGGATTCATATCGTACATACCATAGAAGGCAACGAGAAAGGTCAAATTACAATGTTATTGAAATTCTTCAGATGCGAGGATACCCAAACGACAGATAAGAAAGAAAAGGTCTTGAAGGCTGATAAAAAATGAAGCTTTCCTCCAAAAGAGGATCTCCCTTGTACAAGAGAGCGTCCACCATATGACTTTACGACAATTTTGGATCAGATTATGACATAGCATTCGACTTTCGAGGCCAATTTCACCCTGCCAATAATTTGATGATGGGAGACTAAAATATAAGAGAACCAGAGCTAAGACCAAATTCCACCCACGCATAGCAAAATGCTTCTCGAAAATTGAGCATACAGAAGTTTAATATTCCTGCATCGCTTCTTCGCTATGTTCGTCATCATCACAATTCCGGCAATGTCCTCACCATGTTTTGCATCTTGTTGGCGATATCCAACGTGAGCTCAGATGTAGAACCTCCGGCACCCCAGGTAATGTCGCAAAATGAGGGATTGTGAGCCACCATTCTGTCCATTCTTTCGAACAAATTCTCGACTCCCTCCTCTGTCTTGGGAGGAAAGAACTCGAATGAATACACAACTCGGCCATTGGCCTCGCCCTCCTTAATTTTGTCGATAACTTTCATGATGCCCTCTAACCTCTACCTGCGATCAAGAGGAAGCAGCAAAGAAGATCAGAGCTTTCAGTGGCACCACAAAAGAATGAATTTAAAAAAAGGAGGACGACTCTACAGATCGAATGAAAACCGAGCGCATTCACGGGAACAGATCGCTGCCGACCAAGAGCGCATCAAAACCATAATCACAGCTGCAACTATCACTTCATTACCGCCACCAATGTTACACCATGCACCTGAGATCTACCCTAGAGAGATCACTAACGGCATCTGAAGCTCTTCAAGCCCAAACTACAAGACCAGACCAGCTCACATGTAACCCGAAGTGAGGCACGACCCTCTGTATACCAACTAAGACGAACATCGGCAGAAAGGCAGCCCTGATCTCCAGTCACAGAACGAAGAATTTGACAAACAAAGGGAAAGTCACAGATCTCCACGCACCAAGTCCCCCAGGAAACCAGAAAAACTCCCGAAAACCCACTGAAGCAACAAGGCCAACTACATTGTGCTACAACTTCATCGCCGCTCTATCCTCCACTACTAAATCCGAACCTCACGGCTACTGAAGATGTCAGTTTTGGATGAAATACAAAACTCACCGCTACTTACAGACAATCCCCTCACCACACACACAAACAAACAACTCCACGACACATTACAACTCCAACTTCCGAAGCGTCCGAGGCTCAAAAACCCAAATCGCCTGTGGTCGACCCAAAGTGCAAATCCAGCTGCAAAACTTCAAGCCAAAAGGGACGAACGAGAGAAATGAAGACACGCAGAGGAGAAAAATGGCGACCAATGTAGGCGGCGGAGAGGGGGCGAGGGCAGCCGTGACGTACTCGAGAGAGAAGGCTGCGATCTGCTTCCGGGCGAGGGAGCAGAGTGAGGAGAGGACGATCAGCGACGCATTCGTCGAGCAAAAGAGACGAAGCGAAGGCGAGCACGAGAGCGAGCTCGAGGATAAAAGGGGAATGCGCTCGCCGTGGCGCCATCCATCCTCTTCACGCTCCAGGCGCCCCCGAAACTCGTGCCCTTTTCCTGCGGTTTCCGCCGCGCGGCCGCATTCTGCCCTGCCGCAAAGGCTGTTTCAGACCACTTGCGGCCTCGGAGATCCTGGCGATCCGGCCGTCTGTGACGGGCGAGCCTGCAGAGCAGCTGCCTGCCTCACGTGGCTATTAAGACAGGCGACCTTCTACGCTCGAGAGACCTTTTCGATCCACAGAAACTCTTCGCTTTGCCAATATTTACCGGCCAGCCACCGGCCAATTATTATTCTTCCTCGGTGAGAACTCGAACGCCTGACTGGAACTGAATCGGATTACCGGAGACAAGCTGCCGCTGTTAGGCTTGGCCACGGTCCGGGTAACGGTTAACCGGTCCAATTAACCGGTTAACCGGTCCGGCATTTTGCCATAACGGTTAACCGAGGTTTTAACCGGTTAACCATCTGTCCCGACCCTACGTGACCGACGGGAGGGGTTGTGGCTGGGAACGAAGGAGGAATTGCGCAATAGCTCGAGGACTCAAATGAGCCCCTACTCGGACCGTTGAAAATCCTCCCGGTTGAAAACGCTCTCGAATTGGAGAGACTTCGACTTTGCGCCAGGGCGCAGGGAAGCTGGAGAAACACATCCGAGCTCGAGATTTATGCTAGGGATTATTCACTTATCGAATTGGGTGATCAAATTAGGTGATAAAAAAATTTAATCTGGCAGCAGAATTAGACTAGCCAGGCTCGCTGGTCTAATTCTGCTGCCAGAGGAAATTTTTTTCCCGGACCGGTTAACCGTCGATCCGGACCGGACCGTGGCCAAGCGTAGCCGCTGTCACAACCTTCCATAATAACCTCACCTTTTGTAATTCCAACTCGTTTTTCACTTCGCCTGTACTGATCTTAACTAATTAATTACTTACGGAAGTTCCTATCTCCCTTACCTTCTGTAACATTAGTAACTTTAATAGATTTGACACGTGCATGGACACCCGCACACTAATGTCGAACGGACATTGATTGGTGGAGGATGTCTCCTGAAATATTAAAGCGTGAATTTGACAGCCTGCAAAATTGCCTTTTGTGCTCATTTACGCATTCGACATCATTCTAGCTATTTTTCTTTCGCATTTCTCCTTTCTTTATGAAGCAAAGTTGAGCGTCAAAGGTCGGTCCTTGAATTATGGACCCTTATTCTTCGTCTGAGGGAAGTTTAATTCTCTTGATAGCTCGCAGTCCAGGTAAATTGGCAGTAACTTTCTTAAACAGCAGACCATAAACCCAATACTTAAACGGATATGTATATATCCACTTTATTGCATTTTATTGGGCCCCTTAGAAAATTTACATGGGTATATAATCCCAGTTTCCAATACATGTATAACTGCAACTTCCTCGCAATTGAAGTGATGGACATGCTCATTTGGGCCGACCCTGTCAGTCGTAGAGTTGAAACTCCAAAGAAAAAATGGTGAAACAAAGCTCCCTCACGTATTTGGATTTCAAGGTCAGTGCTTTAAGTTGCACAAATTGCTAAGACCTAAGCAATTAAAAATATTGGGTAGAAAATTCCAGCTTAAAGTTGAAGGTATCCGACTGTAAAATATTTTTTACTACTAAAAAATATTAGTAGTAAAAAATATTTGTTCCCACAAGAACCTTTAAAGTTCCAGCATCAACCGAGGAGTGCTTCCGTTACCAAACTCCTTTTCTAAGACTTTCTTTTCTATTTAATAATATTACAACCATCATTTCATATCGAACTGAATGATTCCCAAGGGATGTAAATATAGTGAAGTGACATTTTAGCTCCGATTCAGAAGAATAGAAATAAAGGAACGCGTCATACTCTCGAAGGCAAGAATGGTGGCCGAGGTGACAAGAATGGGCTCGATTTAGCTGATCGAAAAATAAGTCAAAGGCCTGAACGAGCGGACGAGACACCATCGAGGAGGCCGCCGAGGTCAATGGCGAGGAAGGATCTCCGTCCATCGGAAGCGCGGAAGGCTCCGTGCTGACAGTTGCATCCGGAACCATGGACCTCACGGCCCTTCCGGACGACCGCCGGTGCTCCGGGATTGTCCTGGGCGTTCAGGAGGTTCGGGGAAGCACGTTCTCGCTTCTCGGAGGAAGGGACAAAACGGAGAAAATTCTGCGGCACTGATTCGTGGCGTCGGAGGACTCGGAGGACTGGGAGGCACGGCGTCCCGCAGGTTGCGCCGTGCTATCCAGAGTCGGATAGATTGGAGAGATGGCATGGAAGCACGATCTGAAGCGAAAGGTATTCTCGGTACTCTTCCCGTCAGCCCTTTCGTCATCGCTCGCGCGTTCTTGTGGCTTTCTGCTCCATTCCACTTCATCGACAAACCTCGAGAGATTCCATCCGGTCAAGCCTCGAGAGGGACCCGGCTCATGTGTGAGAGGAAGCTCGGGGAGGAGCTTTCAGTCGTGAGATATATTCCGACTGATGTTTTTTCTAAAAAATATGGTGAGTATACAGTGGGACCAAGTGGAAAATCCTTGTTTGAAGAAAACAAAAGACTTTAATTTTATAATGGTAATAGATGGGGACCCAAAGGGTCAAAAGACTGAAATACACAATACAAACAAGGGAAAAGACCCCAAAGGCCACTCCCTAGATTGTAATGATGAAAAATATATTTCTCAATGAATATGAAATCGTGTCATTGACTTTAATTTTATTTTTGTATAATCGGTACTCTCTTTTAAAAAACGGAAATATATTCACTAAAGACATAAATAAGGTAGAAAACTATGATACAACTTGATAAAATAAGATTACTAGATATTTGTTGGTATTCTGTATTCTAAGTGGTGATATTTATAACTAGCCAATGTTACAGATTTGAATTTTTAACTAGTATTGCTACTTCGGGTGTTCCCAGCCTGTGTACTCTAGTCCCTCGATCGACCTTGCGTTGAAGTCTCGACTAACGAAGTCTTTGCTCGTACCATTGACCCCGAACAGATGGTTGTGCACTGCGTGATGGAACCTTCGGTTGGAAAGCTTTTCGTGGACGTAGCTCTTCGAATGCGTTTGATCAACTTTGTTGACGGGTAGAGTCGAATGTTGACCACCTGCAAGGATTGAAATTTGGTTGAATTCTGAATAACTCGGAAGAACGTACCCCTTTCTGGTCATCACCAACCCTGGACTGACGCAAGCCAATGTGGAGCCACCCACACAAATTCTCTCGTTACTTAAAGTCACGAACAATGGAAAGAACGACGACACAGGACAGACAGTCCGCAAACCAATTCATTGAAGCAAGAAATGGAAATCCTCGAAATCGGCAGGACTTTACAAAAAAACTCGAACGTACGTTTGAGGGATCAGAGAACTAGGGAGCCGAAATGAAAAGAAAGTGCAAGTGTACACAACTGGCGCAAGAATCTGAGCCGAAGGACTGACAAAACCATTATTGATGTTCCCGAACCTGAGGTCGTTTTACTCGGTTATTTCATTATCTGATCATAAACAACCTGAAAATCACTAGAAGTTTCCTGAAGACCCACGTCGTAAGTTTAAAACCGAGTAACATAGCAAAACAATGGGAAGAGCCTGTAAGTAAACATTGGATGGAAGCCAATCAGGCCAATTGAGCAATATCAATATCTCCATCTGTCGTGATTTATTGAGCCTAACATTTAGCTACTATATGTGATGAAGAGAAAATCACCTAATGAGATTGGTGTGCTGGTAATGCACACCAATCTCATTAGGTGATTAGGGTTTTAATTGCCCAATTAGCAAGTCTATAAATACTAATTAGATTTAACCCTAATGGATGTGATTCCTTTGGCCAGCCACCGCACACCTGTTGACTGCAGCACCAGCCTGGTGCCACAAGGCTGCTGTTGCCTGCCTCGTGGGGGCTACAGCCCACATACAACCTCTGGTGCGCCGTGGCAATCATCCCTCTCGGATCAAAGGTTGATCGCAGTGATATATGAGAAGGTGCCGTGGAGTGCTAGCACGATCCGGTTCATCGTTCCATCCCGTACGTGTAGATTGCCTTAGAGGTGTCGCTCGGTTGCGTACTTCATCAGATCATACCACTACCTCTTCGACGTCAATCGGATCGAGTACTAGCGCTTCATCAAGACTTCTGCTCCGACGCGCGAGCGAAGGTATAATCTATGATCATCTACTCGCAAGTTACGCGGTTATTTCATTGTGTGCTAGCGAGTAGCATACCCACGTAACCCTAACGGTGGTATTAGAGCTGGTCTTGTGCTGTTTTTGATCTAGAAGCTAGGTTGAGGCTGTTCGTTTTTGGCCTGCATGCCACTCATGTGATGTAATTTATAATTTTAATTTAGATGAATTAGATTATGTAATTCATCGACACGAGCGAAACAACTCGGCGACCGTCGTATCTTGGAGAAAGCGCCCAAGATGCGAAGTCTCGGCGTTGGTATGCAGATTGGCGGTCGTCAACATGTGCTGTTTTTTGTTGGACGAAGAAAAGGCCATACTTTCACAATAATTTGATTATCTGTGATGATTAATTTTATGCACTGCCTGTGATGCAAATGATGAATCCCTCACAAAAAATTAAGATTTTATGACCTTCCAACAGCTACACCATTGGAATTTTGTTAGTAGGTGATGGATCTGCCAAAGCAGGGTGTCATCTTCTACCTTAATTCATTGGGTGGTGTCGGACACCACAACATAGTGTTGGTTTACTTGACAGAGCTATCAAATCGGACTTATGCTTTGGGGCATAAGTATTGGTAATGGTAAATGGTAAATAGATCAAGCGGGTGGGACCCAAAGGGTCAAAAGGCTAAATAACACAATACAAAAAATCCAACTCCAAACAAGAAGATAACCAAAAGAACCCCCTAGGTAGTGTCCAAAGCACTAGAACGGTAACTAATAACATCCCTAATGTAACAACCTAAATCATAAGGATCAAGCTAAAGCAAAGAATAAAAATTCTCAACAACAACTTTATGAG